TTTTGAGATGGAATCTTGCTCTTTCGCCCAGGCTGGAGTGCAATGGTGAGATCTTGGCTCACTGCAACCTCCACTTCCCAGGTTCAAGCGATTCTACTGCCTTAGCCTCCCGAGTAGCTGGGATTACAGTCACCTGCCGCCACGCCCAGCTAATTTTTGTATTTTTAGTAGACACTGGGTTCCGCCATGTTGGCGAGGCTGATCTCAAACTCCTGATCTCAGGTGATCCACCTACCTTGGCTTCCGAAAGTGCTGGGATTATAGGCGTGAGCCACCACACCTGGTCTATTTTGTCCTTTTAACAGAGAAATTCAAATTCTGGTTTTGAATCAGTTCAGATTCAATATTTAGGCTTATTTTTAAAAGTCATATAATAAATTCATTCCATTTAGTCAACTTGAGCACGTATGATTCTCTCGTTTCTCCTCTTTCAACTTTTTATCTCTGCTGTAGTTTGCATGTGTTCCCCCGCCCCCACAAAGTTTGTGTGTTGGAAACTTAATTCCAAATGCAACAGTGTGGGGAGGTGGGACCTTTAAGAGATGATTATATCAAAAGGGTTCTTCCCATATGAATGGATTAATACATTATTGTGGGAGTGGGTTCGTTATTGCAGAAGTAGATTTGTTATAAAAGTGAGTTTGGCCCCCTCTTGCACGCTTTCCCTTCCCCCCATGCATGCCCTCTTGTCCCTCCACCTTTCACCAGGTGATGAGGCCACAAGAAGGCCCTCGACAAATATAGGCCCCTTGACCTTGGACTTGCAAGCCTCCGGAGCAGTGAAAAATAAATCTCCATATTTAACTAAATCGCCCAGTCTTGGGTGTTCCATTATAGTAGCACAAAATAGACTAAGACAATATCCATTCTGCTTTGTCTGTTATTTATTGATTCATTCTGAAACAACTTTTGAATAACTTCCACACTGGATCTTAGCCAAAAGGCCAAGAAGCAATAACCTTTGAATAACTTCCAAACTAGAACAATATTTTTTTTATTTTAACAAAAATCCATCTTTTCTGTCTCATGGTTTTTTGTTCATTTGTTTTTGCTTTTTTCGACAGAGCCTCACTTTGTTGCACAGGCTGGAGTGCAGACGTACAATATTGGCTCACTGCAACCTCCACCTCCTGGGTTCAAGCAATTCTCCTACCCCACCCTCCCAAGTAGCTGGGATTACAGATGCCCACCACCATGCCTGGCTAATTTTTGTATTTTTAGTACAGACATGGTTTCAACATGTTGGCCAGGCTGGTCTCGAACTCCTGAGCTCAGATGATCCACCGCCTCACCTTCCCAAAGTGCTGAAATTACAGGCACGAGCCACCACACCCAGCCGGTATATTTCATAGATTTCGAAGAAAAAAATACATCTTATTTTTCTGTTATGCTTTGCATAAAATGTCACTTTTCCTATTACTTCTAGAAATTCTAATTACATTAATTTGGTTAATTTTTTTTTTTTTTTGAGACAGAGTCTCACTGTCGCCCAGGCTGCAGTGCAGTGGTGGTGCGATCTCGGCTCACTGCAGCCTCTGCCTCCGGGGGCCAAGCAATTCTCCTGCCTCACCTTTCCGAGGAGCTGGGGTTACAGGCGAATGCGGCCATGCCCAGCTAATGTTTGTATTTTTAGTAGAGATGGGGTTTCATCATGTTGGCCAGGATGGTCTTGATCTCTTGACCTCGTGATTAGCACGCCTTGGCCTCCCAAAGTGCTTGGCTTACAGGTGTGAGCCACCTCATCCAGCCAATTTGGTTAATTAATAAGAATTGTTAACTCTTAGTGACTTTAATTTCTAGTGAACACTAGAAAACTAGAAAATGTGCAATCATGAACTGTTTTCTTCCAAGTTTGCAAGTACATGATTTCACAATTTCTAGAAACATGATTCCTAGAACAATTGGAAAATTGTCCTATGACACAGGACAGGAAATGGCAGAGGAAATGTTTACTAGGCCCCAAATACCTTTTTTTCTTCTGTAATAGGCAGCCAGAGTTAATAAGTTCTAAATTTATGTTCAGCAATAAATATTTCAGTATCAGATTAATATTTAGAAATGATCTAAATATTCAATACATATTGCTATGGCTTGAAAGTTTTCCTGCTCTGAAAATCATATTAAAACGAAATCCCCACTGAACAGTACTAAGGGGTAGGAGCTATAAGATATGATTTCATCATGAGGGATCTGCCTTCATGAACAGATTAATCCTTCACAGATTAATGCGTTGTCATGGATGTGGAGTAGTTATAATTTGTGCGTGATAGGGTTTGGATCTGTGTGTTGAATTGCAATCCCAAGTGTTAGAGGTAGGGCCTGGTGGGAGGGACTGGGTGGTGGGAGGTTTCTCATGAATCCTTTGCCGCCGTTGCTTGGTGCCGTTCTCCAGATACTGAGTGAGTTGTCCTGGGATCTACCGCCTCGGCTTCCCAAAGTGCTGGAATTACAGGCATGAGCCACCCTGACGGTATATTTCATAGATTTCAAAGAAATCTAGCTTTTGTTTTTGTTTTTTGAGACAGAGTCTTGCTCTGTTGCCAGGCTGGAGTGGGGCAGTGGCGTGATCTTGGCTCACTGCAATCTCCACCTCCCTGGTTCAAGTGATTTCCCCGCCTCAGTCTCCCAGGTAGCTGGGACTACAGGCTCGCACCACCACACCCGGCTACCTTTTTGTATTTTAGTAGAGATGGGGTTTCACCATGTTGGCGGGGATGGTCTTGATCTCCTGATCTCCTGATCTGCTTGCCTTGGCCTCCCAAAGTGCTGGGATTACAGGCATGAGCCACCAAGCCCGGATATCGGATATCGTTGTTTAAAAGTGTGTGGCACCTCCCCCTCTCTCTACCTCCTGCTGTGGCCATGTGAGACAGCTCATTCCCCGTTTTCTTTCTGCCATGATCAGAGGCTTCCTGAGGCCTCCTAGAAGCAGAAGCTGCTGTACTTCCTGTACGGCTTGCAGAACCATGAGCTAATTAACTGTCATTTGTTTATGAATTATTCAGGCTCAGGTATTTCTTTATAGCAATGCAAAACAGACTAATACAGTGTGGCTCTCTTATAAAAGCCTGTTTGTTTCTTAGTGTGTCCCCTTGCCATATAATGCCCTGCACCAACTTGGGACTCTGTAGAGAGACCCCGCATTAGTCTGTTGTCATATTGCTATAAATTATTACCTGACACTGGGTGACTTATAAAGAAAAGATGTTTATTTGGCTCACAAGTCCACAAGCTGTACAGGACACATGAGGCTGGCATCTGCTTGGCTTCTGGGGAGGCCTCAGGACAGTTACAATCACGGCAGAAGGCAAAGGGAGAGACAGCACTTCACATGGCCAGAGCAGGAGGGAGAGAGTGGGGAGGTGCCACGCATTTTTTAACAACCAGATCTCATGAGAACTCACTGTGACAAGGACAGTCCCAAGGAGAATGGTGTTAAACTGTTTATGAGAAACCTGCCCTCATGATCCAATCACCTCTACCAGGCCCACTGCCAACACTGGGGACTACAATTCAACATGAGACTTTTGTGGGGCCACAGACCCAAACCGTATCAGACCCCATCAGCAAGAAGGCTCTCCCTAGATTTGGCCCTTTGTCCTCGGACTTCCTGGCCCCGCAAAACAATACATGAATTTATATTCCTTAGAAATTACGCACTCCCCACTCCGAGGTATTCACTTATAGCAATAGAAAATAGACTGCTACAAATAACCGTCATTTAACTTAGATTTTTAAGTTACCAAATATTAGATATAAAAAATTCTTAAAAATAGACATCTTATAAACATTGTATCAAAAAGATATAAACATCACATAACACATAAAAAGCACAAAAATATTTTTAAAATACAAATAACCACCTTGAAAATATGTGGCTCTTTTCAATTCCCTTTTTCCTTCTCGCGTTTCATATACATCAAGAAATTTATCTTTTCCTTGTACATTTTGTTCCTTAGTTGAATGTACAGTTTTATGATCGTAAACACATGTTAAGTGTTTTGATTAGTAAATCCAGGTAGAAGTTGTATGTGTGCACTGTAAATGCTGACAGCTCTGAAGATTTGTCTGTTTTAATTAAACCAAGAAACTTAAACTACCTTTTTATTTACTAAAGATTATCTCAGATCAGGTGAACTTGAAAAACATTTAGGTAAGCTCCCATTTTTCTACGAAAATGCTTCATTTATGGGAGCAATTCTTTTCTTCCTTAGATAAATCTTTGCATAGGTACCAAATAACACATTTGTTTAGGATGAGAGCTTCCCCCTCCAAAAAAAGTATTTTTATACAGAAACGTCCAAATCTTCAAATGTACATGTACTTCAATTGTGACTTGAACTCAAGGTAAACACATAATTAATAAATTAACCTTAGCTTGCTGGATGGCTACCATCTTATATGCTGTTCCCTTGACTGAAATGTTGTTATGAGGCAAACGACTGTACGTGAGATGGGACTTATTGGAGGAATTAATGCATGTGATAGGGAACGTGAGAGGTTCCACGACAGCCCATCTGCACAGTAGAGACCCTGGAATGCTGGAAGCAGGGCTCAATTCAGTCCAAAAGCCTGAGACCCAAGGAAGCCAAGCCAATAGTGTAATTCTCAGGTCAAGGCCAAAGTTCTTAGAACCTCGTGGCGGGGGTGGGGGGCAGGGGGGCGGCTATTGGTGTAAGCCCTGGAGTCCAAGGGGTACAGATCCTAAAGTTCTGATGTCCACAGGCAGAAGAAGAAACGTGTCCCAGCTCCAGGAGATCAGATGGATTTGCTTTTCCTTTTTTTCCTTTTGGATGGAGTCTCAATCTGTCGCCCAGTCTGGAGTGCAGTGGTGCAATCTCGGCTCACTGCACCCTCCATTCCTGGGTCTCAAGCAATTCCCCTGCCTCAGCCTCCTGAGTAGCTGGGATTGCAGGTGCCCGCCACCACACCCGGCTAATTTTTGGTTTTGTTTTTGTAGAGATGGGGGTTTCACCATGTTGTCCAGGCTGATCTTGAATTCCTGACCTAAAGTGATCCACCTAAAGTGATTACACGTGTGAGCCACTGCGCCCAGCTAAGTATTTATTTTAAATAAACGTTTAAATAACCTAAAAAGTATTAACACCTAAGAGGAAGCCTCTAGTAAAACGAGACTTTTTCAGAGACATGGGCAGCACCTGTGCCATCTTCCTGGTAGATGAACTTTCCAGAGTTCACGAGGAGGTCCTCAATCCTCTCCTTTGCATGTCTCTCTCCCAGCATCCCCAAGGCATTCAGCAGGGTGTGGATAGAGGCGTTCCGTCCAGTTTTGTTGACCCATTTCGTCAGCATTACATACAAGGCATCCCTTGGGCCTGCTGCCTCAGCTCTGGCCACGCAGATCTCATTTTCCGTGAGGTCCAGCTCCCTCATGAGCTGATCCCAGGAGTTAAAGGGCACGTTGTCTGTAAAGTGGTGGAAGCACTGCCTCAGAGCTGGGTGGAAAAGGCCACAGAGACAGCCAGGTGAGCTGGGACTCAGAAAGGACAGAGGATCCCACATCAGACCCAGAACCCAAGGGAGAACCTGGAGAGCCCCCTTCATGGGCAAACCTGTTGCTCCATTGTACCCCCACCTCCCATCCACAGGGGCCCGCTCATGCTGCCTGGCCTCCCTGGTACCCAAGGTGCAGAGAGGCATCAAGGTCAGCAGGGAATCTGTTCTCAGAGAGGGCTGAGAACCCACCCGGGGAGGATGGATGGATGCTACAGAGGCAGAAAGCAAAGTGGGTGAGAGCTCAAGGGAGGGAGAGAGCGTGGCTGCAGCGGGAGCTCAGAGGAGGGAGGCTGCCTGGGCTGCACTTCCCACGGGAGCAGGTCCCAGGGCGACCACTTCTGCATTTGTGAAAAGTGCAGGGTCTGGGGCAGGGGACCTCTGTTTACACCCAGCTCAGTCTCATTCCCTGAGGCTGGGGCAGAGCTAGGTGGGGGCAGGCAGACCCTGAGCAAGAGAGGAACCTGAAGACAAAGCAACCCTGCCCACATCTCAGGACTACCAGGGATTAAATGGAATGCGATGTGTGTGCACACCACCATCCACAGGGATGGAAGGGACCAGGAATACTAGACTGTTTTCTAACAGCCTCATTTAAAGAACATAAAAAGAAGTGACTTTTATTTTAATGTATGGTACAATCATATGTAAAATGTAATTGAATATGGGATCAATATACAAAAACTGAAACCCAATTGTCCCATAGGAAGGTTTTTTTTGTTTGTTTTTTTATTTTTTTGATAAACAGAGATTGACCCTTCTGGTCTTAAACTGCTTGAAACTTTTATTTGTTTTATCTGAATTACTTCCTCAGGAAAGACCTTCAGGCCTCTCAAAAAAAGTATCAAAGAACTGAAACTCACCAGATGACTACATCCAGGCAGTGATGGAATGAGGGACCCCCTCATTCATCTTGATTATTTCCTTCCTGCATCCTGGTTCCTACTTCTTACACCTTGTTACATTTCTTGCCTGCTACATAAAGCCCTAGTTTTACTGGGTCAGGGAGATGGGGAGACTGAGCTCCCGTCTCCTCTGCTGCAGCACCTGTTAAAGTGGTTTGGCAACACTCATGATTTCATTGACTGGCTTTCTGTACAGCAAGCAGCAAGACCTAGACTAAATCCCTGGTGTTTTGGTAACAGATTTTGGTTCCCTGACTAGGGAAGTGTTGCTCATGGCTCTGCTGCCATGGCCAAGGAGTCTCAGAAGCCCCCCTAAGCAATTGCCCCCCTAATTTTGGCTGGAGGTGAGTTTCAGTCTCTCTGTGGTCCCACTGTAGCTGGCCCCAACCACATTCCTGATTACCCCAGACGAACTGCCTTTGAAATTTGACATTTGCATCTGGATAGGTGATTGTGCTTTGTGGGCTCGGACACAGGCTCTGCTTTTCTCAATGCGGGAAATTTTTAAAGGAATTTTCATTTGCAGGCTGAACAGGCCCAAGTGACTGTGAAAAGGAAGCACCCTGACTCTTTCAGTTTGGATACTCTTGGGGGTTTGTCTGTAATTGTGTGTTGTGTTGGGGAAAGTGAGTGTCTTTCATGGGTACCAGACAGCAGGACTGGTTCCTCTGGAATTGAGAAATTTGAAAGAAATTTTTGGCCGGGCACGGTGGCTCACGCCTGTAACCCCAGCACTTTGGGAGGCCAAGGCAGGCGGATCACAAGGTCAAGAAATCGAGACTATCCTGGCCAACATGGTGAAACCCCATCTCTACTACAAATACAAAAATTAGCTGGGCATGGTGGCGTGCACCTGTAGTCCCAGCTACTCGGGAGGCTGAGGTAGGAGAATCTCTTGAACGCGGGAGGCAGAGGTTGTAGTGAGCCGAGATCTTGCCACTGCACTCCAGCCTGAGCAAGACTCCATCTCAAAAAAAAAGAAAAAAAAAAAGAAAATTTTGTTGGCAGGTTGATCAAGCCCAACCAGTGAGGAGAGGAAGCACCCTGACCATTTCAGTTTGGATACTCCTGGGGCTGGTCTGGTGTTGCAGCAGTTGGATTGTGTTTTGGGGATTACCTGTATGTGTTTGGTAGAGTCATGGGAAATTAGAATTCAGTAAACTTGGTATTATTGTGTAATACTGTTTGGCCCCCAAATTGGAAACTGGAGTTTGCTGCTGAATGAGAAGGTGGGAAGGAGTTCCCTGTATTGAGGCTCTTACATTGCTGTTCCAAGCAGGGCTGGGCCAGGTTAGTTGTTTCTAGGTGGTATTCTCTGTAATGCTGCTTGACCGCAGTGTTCTTTGGAGTCTGAGGAGGTTTGGCCCTTAAAAACCAAACTGCCACGGCAACTGCTTTACCTAAAATTTTGGTTCACACCTTCACTGCATTACCTATTGGGACTAACAAAGTTCAGCCATGTGAACATATTTGTAGACTGGTGAGTTTATATTGCTCTCTCATGGCCAGAGTTCAAAGGTAAAAGCTATTGGGTCTTTATGTGTTGTGTGTATAGGTCTAGATGCGTTTATGTGTATGTACATTTATACTATTATTATCATTATTTGCGACGGAGTCTTGCTGTTGCCCAGGCTGGAGTGCAGGTGCAGTATCTCGGCTCACTGAAACCTCCACCTCCTGGGTTCAAGCGATTCTCCTCCTCAGCCTCCTGAATAGCTGGGATTACAGACATATACCACCACACCTGGCTAATTTTTGTATTTTTAGTACAGACGGGGTTTCATCATGTTGGTCAGGCTGATCTCAAACTCCTGACCTTGTGACCCGCCTGCCTCAGCCTCCCCCACAGTGCTGGGATTATAGGTGTGAGCCACCGTGCCCAGCCTGTACATTTATTAAGTTACCTGTTGTGTCTACCAAATTGACTCATAGGTAAGAGAGTGCTCGTAAATTAAGTCAGGCAGTCCAAGCAATTTTCAAGTTCATGTGACTTAAGTAAATCCTTACTAAACAAGCTGGCTTTAAAATTATTGGCAAAATAAAAAAAAAAAAAAAGAACGGACTCCAGAATTGTCAGCATGCCTTTTTTTCTGGGTTTTATATTTGTCTCTGCTAGATATTTTGAGGTATCAGTTTGGCACAAAAAAATTGTAAGATTTTAAATCCAACCAAAACCAAATGATCTTTGAGTCAGTTTTTTGCTGAGTAAGATTAATTTAATGAACAGTTGAATCTTCTCAGTTATTGGTGAAAATGCCTATATACTAACTTTGAAGCTCTTAAGTGAGCACCTAATGGTCACTGGCTATTAAAAAAATGATTGGCAGGGCGCGCTGGGTCACGCCTGTAATCCCCGCACTTTGGGAGGTTGATCGTAAGGTCAGGAGTTTGAGTCCTGCCTGGCCAAGATGGTGAGACCCTGTCTCCACTAAAAATACAAAAATTAGCTGGGTGTAGTGGCAGGTGCCCGTAATCCCCGGTACTCGGGAGGCTGAGTCAGGAGAATCTCATGAACCTAGGAGGCGGAGGTTATAGGGTTATAGGGTTACAGTGAGCCGAGATGATGTCACTGCACTCCAGCCTGGGTGACAAAGCAAGACTCCGTCTCAAAAAAAAAAGATTGACAAGGAAATAACTAACTTTAAATGATGGTGTATAATATCTCAATTTTCAGATGCAATCTGGATAAACTTAATGAAAGAACTGAGTAAATGTAAATGAATACATGTTTTAAGTAAACTTTTCATGTAACTAAAAATCTTAAAATTACTTTTGATGTTCATCATTGGATATCTGAGTCATTTCCAATTATGAAAGTTACAAACACAAGGAAATACATTTCTAAAAATTGTGGAATTGTTTTCTTTTCTTTTCTTTCTTTCTTTTTTTTTTTGAGGTAAAGTCTCCCTCTGTCACCTAGGCTGGAGTTCAGAGGTGCACTCTTGGCTCACTGCAACCTCCACCTTCTGGGTTCAAGCGATTCTCCTGTCTCAGCCTCCCAAGCAGCTGGGATTACAAGCGTGTGCCACCACACTCAGCTAATTTTTGTATTTTCTGTAAAGACAGGGTTTCACCATCTTGGTCAGGTTGGTCTTGAACTCCTGGCCTTAGGTAAGCCACCACACTTGGCCAGAATGGTTTTCATCTATAAAATGTTAATATCTGATTTCTATGCTAATATCAAGATTTCTTGCTTTCTAGGGTTTCAGTAAAATTTACGGTTACTACAAATAAAAATTATAGTTAATATGTAATTATGTGTATAAAACAGGCCAAAAAAGATGTGTTATTAGTGAGAAAGAGAATAATTTTGTCTAATTCAGAAGTTACCTAAAAGTTAATTCAAATCATGGACTTGAAAAAGATGATTTATGAAACAAGGTAGTAATAAACCAGTTTGTAGGGAAGAGAGATGTAAAGAAAATTATAAATATGAAGATGTACTTCTGGTAAAGAAAGTCAACACGGAAAAGATAATAATTTTGTATGAGAAAAAATCTTGTACGGTAATTTTTTCATCCTGGAGTAAAATGACTGGTTATTTAAAGAAGAGAAGGAGGAAAAGAAAAAAACCTGGGACTGCATGGAAAGCCCAGGCATGTCATAGATAGTCTGTGTAAATTACATGTAGTTTTTTTCTGTTTCTCTGTGTGTCTCTTTTCATGCACCTACAGAGAAATAGAAAGCTGAAAAAGTTTAGATAATAAAATATTCTTTAAAACCCGATAGAAGATTGGAGAAATTTGGCTAATTAACATTTTTATAGTTAAAGCTCTTAGTCTTGATAAAGATAAAATAAAAAATACTGTAAAGAAATGCATTGGCAGTTTGGCTTTTTTTTTTTTTTTTTTTTTTTTTTTTTTTTTTTTTTTTGAGATGGAGTCTTACTCTGTCTACAGGCTGGAGTGCAGTGGCACAATCTTGGTTCACTGCAACGTCCGCCTCCTGGGTTCAAGTGATTCTCCTGCCTCAGCCTCCTGAGTAGCTGGGACTACAGGTATGCGCCCAGCTAATTTTTTTGTATTTTTAGTAGAAACAGTGTTTCACCATGTTGGCCAGGATGGTCTCAATCTCTTGACCTTGTGATCTGCCCACCTTGGCCTCCTAAAGTGTTGGGATTACAGGCATGAGCCACTGCGCCCTGCTACAATTCTTTTTTATTATAGTTAAGCATGAAGACAGATTTAGTGTAGAGCCAAAAATTTTGCATACCTGTTTGCATTGCTCCACACTGTATTTGCCATTGTGCATAGATAGCACTAGGACTCAAGTACTCACTGGCCATGTGTAAAGTGAGTTTCATGTTTGCATTGCTCCACACTGTATTTGCTATTTTGCATAGGTAGCACTAGCACTAAAGTACTTTTACTGGTCATGTAAAGTGAGCTTCTTAATTACTCACATACATGTTTTCATTGCTTCATACTATCTTTGCTATTTTGCATAGGCAGTACTAGTACTAAAGTACTTATTGACCATGTGACTAACGTGAATTTCTTAATTGCACAAAATATATAGTGATATTGGTGGACTTGAAAATAATAAATTATATGTCAGGAATCAAATATCCATCATGTCAGTTTTCTAAGGCTCTGGGTAACAGTGTACCCTGCAAAGTAAGCTGAGTAGCAGAAAAATTTGGGGTTGCCGTTGTGTTCATTTTTGCTTCTAATTTTCATTTATTTGCTGTTTGTTCTCCTTTGGGTTTCACTTACGTGTCTCTCTCTCTCTCTCTTTCCATATATGCATATAGTATATAAAACCATTGATATTTTTGTTTCTAATGGAAGGTTTTTATTTGGTTCTATGAACAGTCACTTGGTTTCCTATGCATTTCCAACATTCCATTCTTTGCTTTATTTATCTAAAGTTCCTAAGCTACATTTGTCCAGCTTTCAAAAATTGATAGAGGACACCAGCCATTTAAATTTTGGTTGGTTTTCCTTACCTCTGAGGATCGAGAGAGCTACAAGAGATTTAAGGTCTGGCAAAAAATAAAAATAAAAGACTTATTTTTACAAGTTCTGAGCAGAAATAGTACATTATGTATTTTGCTATTTGGAAACGTAGGTGAGAGCAGAAATGTTTAAATGGTGTTTATTTCCAAAGTAATTCAATTTAGTCAATAATTTGAATTGATCGCAAATGTCCAAGAGAGACATATTAGACTTATTAGTTATTCTAGAATTATGCAGGAAGCACTGTCACATCTGAGGTGAGGTTTAGCTTCCTTCGGGTTATGTGTACAGAGATACGTTGTTAATATGTGTTCCGAGATTCTACAACATTCCTGAAATTCTGAGTTGTCTTAATATATATTATCAGTAATAATTATTATGTTAAATCATTGTATGTCACAGAAATAACCAAACTCCCTTGTCTATTGTGTCTTTGACTATGGCTGTCCTAAGATTTTGTCATCCACAATTGACGTTTTGCTTTGATCCATCTAAAAAAAAAAGTGACTTCTAATCAGCTACAGTCCAGGGCTTGCTTTTATAGGGGAGTTCATGAAAATGACTCTTGAATGAAGGTTTCTGATAACTGTGGAGATTGCTGTCATTGGATTACAGAGAAAACTTCTAGTGCAGTCATTGAAAGACCAATGTCTGCCCAGGCACAGTGGCTCATGTCTGTAATCCCAGCACCTTGGGAGGCCAAGGCAGGCGAACCACTTGAGGCCAGGAGTTTGAGACCAGCCTGGCAAACATGGCAAAACTGTCTCTACTAAAAATACAAAAAATACCCAGGTGTCGTGGCCCACATCTGTGGTCCCAGCTACTCGGGAGGCTGAGGCTTGAGAATTTCTAGAACCCAGGAGGTGGAGGTTGCAGTGAGGTGACATCACACCACTGCACTCCAGCTTGGTGACAGAGTGAGACTCCATCTCAAAAAATAAAAATAAAAAATAAAAAAAGACAGACTGATGTGTTCCTAAAGATTGTGATTGTTAACCAAACATGAAGCAGGGCAGGAGTTGATTGCAAAGGCTGAACTAATAGAGAACTGAAATAATTTTTATGGCTCTAAATATACTTTAAGTATATTGATTACTTGTGTAAACAGAATTTGAGGCATATTTCTCTCTCCGCCTAATTTCTCCAGAATTTGTAAACTATTTGTGACTATTAATCCACGGCAATGTGTTTGTTTATATATGGTCAATAACAAAATGTTTTCTTTTACAATGGAACACAGTTGGAGAAAATGGTTATTTTCCAAGAATTTTGATTGCAAAGTCCTTGTGAGAGGTTCCAACAAAGCCAGCTTGGGAGAGCCTCTGTGGACAGTGAGTTTTGCTATACTTGGTGTGGGTAAACAGGCCATGTCTATGGAACTAACCTATTTTGCAGGTACATTGGTCCCACCATAATTTGTCTTTGGTGGAAGTGGGGCTGAGAGAGACTGAGATCCAGAAAAAACACAGTCTTCTAGTATTAGATTAACCTTTGACTCCTGGGTGGCCACGAGGTCACCCACAGTATGAAGCTTCCCACAATGCCCTTCTTCAGCCATGGAGCAGCCAGAAAGATCCAGGACCAGATTTCCCATGACTGGAGGACTAATAAATAGGAAGAACTGAAATCAACCCAATGGTTCCATCAAAAGGGTTTTTTTTTTTTTTTTTTTTGAGATGGAGTTTCGCTCTTGTT